TCCCGCTGCGGAGCGCGGGTGGCCGCGGGCCATGGGCCACTCGCCGGGGACGTGCTCTGGGCTGCAGCGGGGCGGACGTCCCTCGAACAAGCAGGAAAAGTCAAAGGATTAAATCCACTTCACTCGAGCCGATGAATAGTTGAAAAACGGCCCGTTCGTGAGGTTCCTGACTTCTCGGGATGTCAGAGGCCCCTGAGATGGTTATGGCGTTGTCGTCAGAAGTGGTGTTGGCAGACAGCCTGCCAGACGCTCGGTCCGCTCCCCAGCGGCCACAGCGCGGGGCCAGCTTGCAGGTCGCCGAGCAGCAGGCCTGGGTGTGTGTCAGGGCGCGGGAGCAGGGGCCGGGCACGCGGAGCCCGAGTCCTGGGCGCGTCGGTAACCTCCTCGCAGCCTCAAGGACTTGCCTCACCGGCTCGAGTTCAGGGGAAGATGACCCGCCTCCGCGGGGAGGCCAGCGGCTTGCTGGGGCTGGACGTCCAGCGTCCCCGCAGTGTGCGGTCAGTCAGGAGCCCCGCAGCTCGGCCGTGGGGAGGCTGACGCCAGAAAGCCTGGTCTCCGTGGGAGGCCGGTTCCATGGAGCTGTCCAGCGTCCTGGCGCGCTCCGCGCACTCGTCCTGACCGTCTGTCGGATCAGCTGTCCGCGGTGTTCGTGTTCTCTATATTCGAACTATTAGGATCGCGCCTGTCGCACCACCTCTTTGCTCCTGTGGTCCTGCCAGGTCTGTGTGTCCTCAGGGACTGCCGACTTAGGCTGGCTGAGAGAGCAGGCCCTGCTCGATGATCGACACTCTGGGTGGTTCTCACATGCTGCGTTATTCGCATTTATCAAGAATTTGAAAGTCAGACTGTGCATGGCCAAGAGAAACGCCGTTGGGGCACACCCTGCACAGATGCTCTTTTGACACATTTCTGATGACAGAGAACAGAAGTCTTAGTCTCATCAGACTCATTCTAATCATAGCCAGGCCTTCAGTTATCGATTCTATTTGGCCATTAGAACTAACCTGTGGCTACCAAATTTCCTTATCATTCACTCATTTTTTAGATGTAGCTTTCACTTCGTAATTTCTGAAGCCCATTTACTTTCTTCAAGCATCTCTAGCTCGTCGAGATGCAGAGAGAAAACGTGGCCATTTCCTGAGAGCTTCGTTAACTTCCCTGTTGGGGAGGCATTTCCTTGGCGCCCCTTCCCCCGGCGGGGCTGCTGGGGATGCCGAGTGCGGTGGGGCTGAGCACTGTCCTGCAGGGAGCAAGAGGAGGAACAAACAAAACTTGCTTTATAATTAAGATCGCCATTCGTTTAGGGACTTGGAAAGAATTTTAAGGGGATTTTTTTTCCAGTGACATGGAAATGATTTCTCTTTAGTTATAATATCTGAAAAAAAATATTTGGTTCCAATTTTCTCTGACAAAGAGGTAGGCAGGCCAAATGTTTTATAAAGGGAGTTCATATATAATTCCTAAAAAAAAAATTAATTTCTAAAGGAAATGTTTAATTTTTAATTGAATTAGGAAATTCATTTGTTGAATTACTGTGTGCCAGGCACTTACTTACATTATCTAATTTAATCTTCACACACACACACACAAAAACAAATTAAAAGTATTTTACTAGCCTGCAGTTAAGGAGGCTGATACAGAAAGTTCAGTAACTTGCCCAAGGTTGCACAAACGACACGTGTCAGGGCCTCGGACCCCAGGCCACCCGAGACGAAGCTCGCTCTTTCCTCGCCAGGCCACCTCAGTCGGTTTTTGGATTTTTAGCTATTTATCGTGTAATATCAGAAATCACAATATTCCAAGGCTTCTTAGAAAATCGCTTCAGGCATATCATCCTTGACGGAAGGTGGCGGCTCGCCCCGGCAGGGCAGACCTTATCTGGAGGAGCGCTGGAGAGGTCGTTGCTTTCACGGCTGCCTTTATTGCTCTTTTGTGTATCTATTATGTAGGATTTTACGGCGTGGGCGTTGCTACAATGTAGAATGTTCTTCTTCTTCTCTGTGGACGTTACTTCCATTCCTGCACATTCTCCTCCCTCTGGCCTGCCTTTCTACCTGGAGTTCGTCCTCCACGTGTGGACTCGGGCCCTCACCGCCCCGCCCCGTCACCTTGCGATTGCCACGTGTCCTCTGTTCTTCGGGGCGCTCACGGAGCCCTTCCTCCCACCGGTCGGATCAAAGGCCTTCGCTCTCAAACTTTTTCAGATCTTTTTCTGTTTTTAGTCTTATCTAGAGAACTATTTTCTGACTGTCATCTCTTCCCTTCAGGAAAGAACTCGAACTCTCTTTTGATCTTAACTGAGCACTCTCTTTCCATCGGCTGTGATGCACGCGGTGACTCACGATCGATTAGGACTCAAAATTAAAACCGTCTGCTGAGAAAGCTGGGTGAATTATTTATTCACGTAAATGCAGTGCTCTTTTTCTGTCTCTCCATTATCCGCCAGCGGGGTGAAATCCGCTCCATGAAATTTTAACCCCAGTCTTTTTAAAATACGCGTTCCCACCCCGGACTGATCCCTCTTTCCCATCCCCCATCTCCCATGTCCAACGCGCCAGCCACTTCTGTCCCTTCCCCCCGGGCTTATTTATCCCAGGGACCCGTCTCATTCTCTTTGTTGTCACCGCTACCTATGTACAAGCTTCTTCTCTTTGCAGCTACGTGATTCTCAGGAACGGTCAGCAGGTGGAACAGTTACAGTTGTGTTTCTCTATGATGCCTCAAGATCTCAGAATTCTTGAGCTAAATGTAGATTAAAAACAATCTGTAAGTCATTGCTTACTTTTGAAATGGATCTCTTTTTTGAAAGCAATCTCTTGAGGAAAATACTTTCCCCTACAATAAAAGTAACTCGTGCTTATTGTAAAAAAGATTTCAAACCATAGAAATCATTTCTTAAAAAGCGTAAGAATGCCCGCAATGCCACCTCCTGGTGGTAACTACCAGTCGCATTTGGTTGCTACACTTCGAGTGTGCGCCGCACTCTGTTTCAATCACAGAGAACTTTCTTCTTTCTTTCTTCTCCCCGCTTGCTGTCCACCCGTCCCATTCCCTGTAGCCACCGTTACCACCTGCCGGAGCGCGGTCCCCTGTCCCCTTTTCCGTGCTCCCGGCAGCAGCGCCCCTCCGTGTCTGCCGGAAGCCGGGCCTGACCTTCGCGGTGAGGCTGCGCCTCTCGCTCGGCGTCCGGCTGCCGCGTGCCTCGCTCCCCGCAGCCCTCGCGCCAGCCGCAGTTCCGTGTTTGTTCGGGGCTGACTCCGTCCGTGTTGACCTCCCCTGTCCAAACCCCACAGAGGCAGAGGTGAGGGCAGAGGTCCTGGCTTTCCATCGGTCCCGGCTTTCCATCGGTCCCCAGGGCCTGCCCGTGCCGTGCATGTCCCAGCTCAGCGCGCAGTTTCCAGCTCCTACCCCCGCCTCTGTCCGTCAGTCCAGCTGTCTGTGCGCTGCCCGCCCCGCCCCGCCCCGCCCCTGCCTCCACCAGCTGAAGCCTCCGGGGCACCCGGGTCCATCCAGCTCCCTGCGAAGCAGTGCGGTGCCGTGGAGAGAGCTGGCCCAGGCGGGGCTGACGTCCCTCCGTGGTCCAGCGGGGAGGGCTGCGGGGTCACCGCTCTGCACTGAACCTCAGTTTCACTGGCTGTAAACTGGAGCCAATGAAAAAACGCATTTCACAGCGTTTAAACACCGGCCACAAAATGAGGAGGATGAGGAGGAGGAGGAGGAGGAGGAGGAGGAGGAGGCATCCACCAACTTTTCCTGCTCTCTTGATTGTCGTCTTCAGATTTTTGTAATTATAGTTTATGCTTTCATAAGGCATCACATAATTCCATAAAATCACCCCCTGCTTTTTGCTCGATGTTTCATCAGCACGTTCCTCTCGTCTCCAGATCTAAACTGCGAACCCCCCTGAGGCAAGGGCGTGGTTCCCCGCTGCCCCTCGCGGTCGCCCGGGCGGAGCGCGGTCAGCAGTGCTCGGGCAGTTGATTGACGGCTGCGGGAAGTGGGTACAGCGATTGGATGCATGGAAGGCAGAGGTGCACTGCGGGGGTGACTTAGAGGGGACCCGGCAGACCACAGAAAGGGCGAAGCCACTGAGCAGTCCTGTCAATAAAAAAGGGAACTGACTCTTTTCATTGGGGACGGAGTAAACGATAAATCTGGCTTTGGACTCTCAACAAGACAAAGGTTATTTCAAAGGCTTTTTTCCCCTTGTAAAATAGTTATCTATTCCCGTGAAGTAAAAGCTATGAAATGTAATGTTGAGATGTAAACGTGGATGACTTCCTTCTTTTAACAAGCTCAAAACATTTTCAAATTAAGAATTTTGTTCTGTCCCAATATATTTCATGGTTCTGCATTTTTATGCAGAAACTCTCTAAT